AAAATAGCTCACGTGAGACGTCTTCTTGAGATCAGGTTTCAGATCATTTCATATCCTTGCAGGAATTCAGATTCAAAGTCAGTTACCTAGTACTCTGCACAACAAAAATGATGAACAGACTAGAAGAACTAGAATCTGCAATGGCAAGTCTAACCAAAGAAACAAAAGAAAGGACAATAGATTGGGAACGTATATATTAAAAGAAAATGTGCTCACTATGCAAGCAAAACACACTGATCTTTTTTAAAAATTAATTTATTTTTAGTTTTCAGCATTCATTTTTATAAGATTTTGAGTTCTAAATTTTTCTCCTCTCTTTCCCCTTTCCCTTCCCCAAGATGGCATGCAATCTGATATAGGCTATGCATGTACAATCATGTTAAACATATTTCTACATTAATCGTGTTGTGAAAGAAGAATTAGAACAAACAGGAGAAACCACAAGAAAGAAAAAAACAACAAAAAAAGAGAAAATAGTATCCTTTGATCTGCATTTAGACTCCGTAGTTCTTTCTGTGGATGTGGATAGCATTTTCCATCATGAGACCTTTGGAGATGTCTTATATCTTTGCATTGCTGACAAGAGCTAAGTCTAACAAAGTTGGTCATCACACAATGTGGCGGTTACTGTGTACAATGTTCTGGTTCTGCTCACTTCATTCAGCATCAGTTCATGTAAGTCTTTGCAGGTTTTTCTGAAATCTGCCTGCTCACCATTTCTTATGGAACAGTAGTATTCCATTCCATTCATATATCGAAACTTGTTCAGCCATTTCCCAATTTATGGACATCCTTTCAATTTCCAGTTTTTTGCTACCACTAAAAGAACTGTTATAAATATTTTTGTAGTGTGGGTCCTTCTCCATTTTTTATGATCTCTTTGGGATACAGACCTAGTGATGGTATTGCTGGATCAAAGGGTATGCACAGTTTTATAGCCTTTTGGGCATAGCTCCAAATTACTCTCCAGAATGGTTGGGTCAGTTCACAACTCCACCAACAATGCAGTAGTGTTCCAATTTTCCCACATCATCTCCAACATTTATCATTTTCCTTTTTTGTCACATTAGCCAATCTGATAGGTGTGATGTGGTGCCTCAGAATTGCAAAACACACTGATTTTGAAGACAGGATGTGTGGAGACAACCTAAGGATCATTTTCCAGAAGAACATGACAGGATAAAAAACCTTAACACCATAATGCAGGAAACAGTAGAAGAGAATTGCCCAGAACATAGAACATGAATATGTTAAGAACATAGAAAATGAAATATCAATTGAAAGAATTCATACATCACCTTCAGAAAAAAAAAACCTGTGACTGCAAACTCCAAGACACGTAGTATCTAAATTTAACAATCCAGTTCAGAAATAAGTTCTACAAGCAGTCATGAGGATGACCTTCAAATACAAAGTGAAAGAAATTTCAATAATGCAGAACTATTCTGCATTCACCAGGAAATGTAGGAGAGAATGGAATAATGTATTTGGAAGAGCACTGAAATTTGGAATGTAGCCCAGGGTGACCTACCCTGCAAATCTGAGTTTAACCATTCATGAAAATCAATAATAACAAGGTATTTGAAACATTTTTAGAAAGGAAACCAGAACTGAAGAGATTGTTTCTTGAATACTCCAAATAACAGAAATGTTGGAGGAGTGAATAAATGTAGTAGCCAAGTACAGTAACAGCAACAGAGTGACAGCAGAGAGACCAGTAAGAAACTTCTTTCTAAATGTACATAAGGAGACAGGAGTAAAGGCAGAAGTATGTTGGAGGTAATAGTGAATAGGTGGGCCTGGGGCATTATGAACAGAATCTGGTCACACCTTGACTGCAGGTGAATCACTTTTTTCTGTGGGACTACATTACAACATGGGAGTATACATGAAAGGAGGAAAGGGGAGCAGGGAAATAGAAATGCATGATGTGTTGGAGTCAAATCCAGGGCTAGCAGTGAAGGGAAAGTGACCTGTTTGGTCTCATAAAGAGAAGACCCTACAGAGGAGTGGGGAAGGAGGAAGGAGGAAGGATTGAAAAGTGCTGAAGGGGTCACAAGTGGGAAAAGTTTAAGAAGCCCTGCTCTAAATCACTAATAGTAAGAGAAATGCAAATCAGAACAATCCTGAGGTTCCACCTTTTACCCTGTAAATTGGCAAAAATGATAAAAAAAATGACAGCAGTCAGTGTTGGAGGGGTTGTGGAATGATAGGGACTAAATATCTTGTTGGTGGAGCTATGAAGTGATACAAACATTTTGGACTATATTTAACAAAGTGACTGAAATATCCATACTCTTTGAACCAGAGACTTTATTACTGGGCATATATCCCAAGGCAGCCATCAATAAGAAGAAAGTCTCCATATACTCCAAATTATTTACAGCAGTACTTTTTGTAATAACTAACAATTGTATGGGCAGCTAGGTGGCACAGTGGATAGAATACTGGCCTTGAAGTCAGGAAGACTCATCTAACTAAGTTCAAATCTGGCCTCAGACACTTACTAGCTATGTGACCCTGAGCAGGTCACTTAACCCTGTTTGCCTCAGTTTCCTCATCTGTAAAATGAGTTGGAGAAGGAAATGGTGTTTTTGCCAAGAAAACCTCAAATGGGGTCACAAAGAGTTGGAAACGACTCAACAACAACAATTGTAAACAAAGTAGGTGCCCACCAATTGAGGACAAATTGTGGTATATAAGTGTGATATAATATTATTATGTTCTAAGAAATGATGTGTGAAGACTGTAGAGAAACATGGAAAGATCTATATGAAGACTGAAGTAAGCAGAGTCAAGAAAACACTATACAAAGTAGCTACCACAATATAAACGGAAAGAACAATTACACACCAAAAAATCAAAAGCAGGTGTAACAAAATTATCAATGTCAAATAGGACTCAAATGAAGAGATGGGAGAGGGCACCTCCAACCTGCCACTTTGTGGAGTTGGGAGGTCCATAGGTGTTATACATCTCACATGTTTTTTGACTTTTTCAATGTATTGATCAGTTGTGCTGATTTTTTTTTCCTTTCTAAAAATACTGTTTGTAATATGGGATGACTCTCGGGAAGGTAGGAGGTAGAGATATTTGGACTAACTATGATGATGTAAAAAACAAAAGATATCAATAAAAGCTCATTTTAAAAGATTATTGCATTAGGCCAGTTGAGAAGTGATGGGTTGTAGTTGTATGAGTAGAGAGAAGGGGACATATGAGAGATGGTGTAAAGGTAGAAACAAGATTTGACAATGTGGATGACACGAAGGTTGCAGGCCTGATTGACTGGAAGGATGATGGCATTCTTGACAGTAATAGGGAAGTTCAGAAGGAGGGAGGGTTTTTGGGGAAAGAGTAAGTTGCCTTTTGGATATGTTAAGTTTGAGATGTCCAAGAGGAGGCTGGAAATGTGTGACTGTAGATCGGCAGAGACTGGGAATCATCTGCTTAGAGATGCTAATTGAGCTCTGGGGGAGCTGATGAGATCACCAGATGAGTTAGTATGGGGTGAAAAGAGAAGGAGCCTTGGGTTAAGAGGAGAAACAAGAGAGAATAGTATCATTAAAAGCCCAGAGAGGAGAGGGTGTCCAGGAGAAGAGGATGGTAAATAGTGTCAAAGACTGCAGAGAAGTCAAAAAAAAAAAGACTGAAGAAAGGCTAACAAATTTGACAATTAAGAGATCATTTGCAGTTGTGGAGAGACCAGTTTGAGTTGAATAATGAAGTCTGAAGCCAGAATGAGAGGAGAGGAAGGTGAGGTTCCAGTTGTAGACAGCTTTCTCAAGTAGTTTAACTGTAGAGGCAAGGAAAAATAGAAGATAGTAGCTAGCAAGGATGGTGGGATCAATGGAGGTTTTTAAAGGATGGAGGAGACATTTTTAAAGGATAGAGGTATATTTTTAGGCAGCAGGGAAATAACCAGTACCTAGGGAGAGATTAAAGATTAGAGAGAGTTTAGAGCTTTGGGATGATGGTAGTTGCAATTTGCTGGAGAAGTGAGGAGGGGTTGGGTTCAAGGGTGTGTGTAGAGAGGTATACTTTGGTGGAGGAAAGCATCTGAAGGATGAGGTAAGAAAGGGAGAAGGAGAGATCTTGGGAAATGGGCTCAAAGTGTGAGTTGAGGTTCTCAGCTGAGAAGTTGGGTGGGGACAGGCTTAAGGGGAGAACAGAAGGTTTAGAACAACTGCTGAGAAAGAGTGAGATAAAAAATCAATTGAGAGGAATAGAATGTTTGCCCTGCTGCACTGAGGGTCCAGTTGAGATTAGCTGCCATAATTTGTAATGAGACCAGTCAGTTTCATGATTTCTTCTAGCTCAGTTCACTATCATGTCAATATTAATGGAAGAGGCAGATGGTGGGAATAATCCAGTGTTGAATTTGGCAAGGCATGATCAATGAGAGTTTTAGAATAAGAAACAAGAATACTTTTCAGAATGTTTACCCCACTTCTGAGCTAGTGCTTTGGCAATTGAGCTTTTAGAAGGTGTGTATGTTTCAGTCCCCCAAAGGCCTCCTTGTGGGATAGAGGAGGACCTTGTTTATGTTAGCAACACAAATGAAGGAGTTACTTTCAAGCTAGAGAGGCTTGGAGTTCAGGTGCCATGATAGTTTTTCATCTGAGCCAATTTCATTCAGAGAGGCTTATTCCTGACCCAAGGTGATGGACTTTTTCTAATCACAGACTGTTTGCTAAGTTATAGAATAGTTTTGATCTGTGTTGATGGAAAGAGTATTCACAGCTGTGAATTTGTAGATCTTTATAGTGTGAAGGTATCTCAGTTATGTTAGTGTTCCATTATGGTCACACTTGTGATGCTGATGAGGGGATGCTGCAGACATCAGAGATGACACTTGTTGCTGGGTGGGACAGATCAGAGGAGAGAGCATCAGAACTGAGATGGCCAGGGCCACTTTTAAAGATATTCTTTAAAAAAATGTTAGAGTTACATATATTTAAATAATCTTGACAGCTTGCTAGTAATGCTTCTGGCTTCTCTACTTTTTAATTCCTCCTAGGTTTATTGTCCCCATTTCATGTGTGATCTGTAATGACATCATGGCCTATATGTTTGGCTTTTTCTTTGGTCGGACCCCACTTATCAAGGTGAGAGAATTTTCCTTGATGTGGAATATCACAGGGCAGTTCTTTCACTGGGAAAAAGTTGCCTTTGGGAGACAGAGAGAAACCTAATTGATTTTTTAAAATGTATTTTTTTATTCTGAACTTAGCAAAGACCAAATAAAATTAGCATTTCCATATCAAGTACAAAGTAGAATGGAAAAAGAGAATCGTGCATGAAACTGTGAATCTATATTATGTACAACTTCCTTTTTCCTGTTAAAAATATAAATTTAATGTGTAACTTTCAAAGTTATTTGCTAGTCTTTGTTTCCTTCTGTTCTCTCTTGTGTGTTTAAAAAATATTTTTATGACCCTCTTTTACTTTTTTTCCTTTTGGGTAACACTAGTAGGTTTAAAGCTGAAAGGGACATTACAAAATCACATCTATTCTACTCCTTTAATTTAAAAAAATTGTTGTTATTATATAAATTGTTCTGCTTATTTGAGTCATACAGGTTTTCCCAGGCTTCTTGGAAAACTTCCTTTTTATAATTTTTTCTACAACATTATAATATTCTCTTCCATTCACATACCATAGATTTTTTTTTTTATCCATTCCCTAGTTGATGGGTATGATCTTAGTTTGCGGGTTTTTTTTATTCCCATGAAAAATACTTCTATAACTATTTTTGTACATATGGGTCCCTGTCTTCTTTGATCCCTTTAGAGTATAGATTTAGGATTGGTACTGAAGGATAGCTTTGGGGGCATAGTTCCAAATTGTTTTCCAGCGTGGTTGGACCAATCCATAGCTTCTCCAGTGTGCATTAGTGTGTGTATCTTTTTCATGTAGCCCTCTTGCAGTAGTTACTTTCCTTTTTTGTCATCTTTGCCAATTTGATAGGCATGAAGTGGAATCTTAGAATTGTTTTCATTTCATAGCTCTAATTATTAATGCTTTAGGAGCATTTTTTCATATAGTTGTTAATAACTTAGATTTCCTCCTTTGAGAACTCATACTATTAGGCCATTTATCTAAAGAGGAGCAGCTCTCATTCTTAAATTAAAATATTGCCATGTTATATATACACATATATTTATACAGATACACATATATTAGATATCAGACTTTTATTAGAGAAATTATAAAGATTTTTTCCTAGTTAACCATTTCTTTTCAAATTTAAACTGCATTAGTTGTATTTGTGCAAAAATGTTTTAATTTTATGTAATCAAAATTGTCCATTTTATCTTCTGATATCTTCTCTATTCTTTTTTTGGGTATGAACTCTTCCTCTGTTCATAGTTTTGAAAGGTATTTTCTTGTTCCTCTAATTTGTTTATGATGTGACCTTTTTAATCTAAGTCATGTATCTATCTGGAGCTCAAAAGAGTTTTCACAAGAACTAAAGAGAAAGATTTGTGAGTCATCTGCATAGAGGTGATTTCATCCATGAGTGGATGAAATTATCAAAGGAGATACTATATAGAAAAAATAGAGGAGGACTGAGGACAGAGAGCCCTAGTGAGCAACATATCCATTTAAAAATATCAAGGATTGGAGGCAGCTAGGTGGTGCAGTGGATAGAGCACCGCCTCTAGAGTCAGGAGAACCTGAGTTCAAATTTGGCCTCAGACACATAATACTCACTAGCTGTGTCACTCTGGGCAGTCACTTAACCTCAATTGCCTCATCAAAAAAAAAAAAAAATATCGAGGGTTAAGGAGCTAGCGAAGAGCTGAATGGTCAGAGAGGTGGAGGAGCTATGAAAACAGTGTTACAGAAACCAAGGGAAAAGAGAATGTGCCAAGGGGAAGCCCACAGTGTCAGGTGATGCAGAGAGAAGGGGGACTGAGAAAAGACCATTGGGTTTGTTAATTAGGAGTTAGTGTCCTTGGAGTAGTTTTTGTAGTGTGAGGGAAGGGGACAGAAGCCAGATTACAGCAGTTTGAGGTCAGAATGGGCAATAACAAAATGTAAGCACTTTTCTTTCTGAAAGTTTGGCATTAAAGTGGGGAGAGTAAAGAAATTGGTAGTAGTTTAAGAAGCTAGTAGGAATAAGAGATTTTTGAGCTCATGATTAAATGAAAAGGAAGAAGCCTGTGGAAAAGGATTCATTAAAGGTGTAGACAAAATCAAGCTTATGGTAGGGTACATGCAGGATAACAAATAATGATGTTAATCAAATTCTATACTCTTTTTTTTTTTTTCCTTCCTTCCTGCAGCTTTCTCCAAAGAAGACATGGGAAGGCTTCATTGGAGGATTCTTTGCCACTGTGGTGTTTGGGCTTCTGGTAGGTAGTTGACAATCCCAAGGGTGAAAATGTTTGTTGTTGAATTATTGCTGGCTATGTGGTTGGTGATCAATGAGTGTAGCAGTGTCTATGAAGTGGGAGGGGTGCTGAGTGTTCACCTCCAGGTTCAGAGGCATGTAGTGCAAAGAAAAATGGACAAAGAGTCAGGAAGACCAAATTGTGAGTCTTCCCTCACATGGTTGCTTACCTACCCACCTCTAAAATGGAGATAATTATGGCACTTACTTGATAGGTTCTCTGTGAGGATCAAATGAGATAAAAGCATGTAAAGTAATTGGCAGACCCCAAGACATTATGTAAATATGAACCATTTGTCTGTCTTTCAGTTTTACATTTTGCAGACAAATCAACTTAGGAAACATTTCTCAGCTGGAAGATGTCCATATCATAGCTTTGTAGCTGCCTGAATCTGTGTTGGCTCATTCAGTTAGCAGGGACCAGCTGGGAAAAGAATGAGAGGACCTGAGTGGGGATCCATTTGAGTTGCCTTTTAAGGTGACAACTATCACAGCCCATTGCCACAGTGTCGGTGTTTGAAGACATCAAGAGAGCTACTACAGCTGCTAATTCCTAGTGGCTCATAGGAGCTAAGCATTTTCTTCTGAGTTCTAGCTTCCTGCTCTGGAATCTGGCATGTTTCCTTAACTCCGTAGATGGTTTGCTCAACCCCCTTGTGACCCAGGAAAGCAATCTATGCCCTTAGGCAGTCAGCTCTTTGAAACGGAGGAGGATTTGGGGCAGGGATATGTGGGTGTGGTGAGTTATTAAAAAGTAGAGGATGGGAGAGTGTGGTGTTGGTGGGTGGGGTATCCCAGTGTTGCCCTCTGCTGGCCCCATGTAAAAATGCATTCCATAGCCTGTATTTCTGTATTTAACCTCTTGATGACCAAGATTCCACTTCTGAGAAATACCCTGACCAAACTCCCACTGTTTGGAGGAGTGTCCCCCCCTTACCAAAAAAAGGCCATAAGCAGGGAAGATTCCATCTTTTAAGGGCAACTCTAAATCCCCCTCTCAAGTCCGTAATTATGGTTTTCCCCTAAGAATCCACACAGCAGGATTACCTTGTTTGTGTGCATAGTGTGTGTGTGTGTCTGTTTGAGAGAGAGGGAGAGATCTGAATCTCTACAGTGATTTTATCGCTGTAGGGAGCTCCTGGTATAGACATTCTATCCAGAGATGCAGATCATCTACTCTCTAAGACCAGAAGTTCTATATGAGTTGATTGGTATTAGTAGGCATACCTTAGTAGGCATTTAAATAACTGAGACAAACGCAAGCTTGAAGCAGCAGATGGTACTTTGTTACTAAGAAGCCCCACTACTCCCTTCTCAGTTCAAGTCCACCAGTCCGTCAACCTGTGAACTTATAGGGGCAGGAAGCCCCTCCAGCAGATTTTGAGGGAAGGGAAAGAAACAGATAATAATTATTATAATTCCCATTTTACGTTAGAGGAAATTGAAGCAGACAGAGGTTAACTGATCTGCCCCAAGTCATAAAACTAATAACTATGTGAAGCAAGATTTGAATTCGGGTCTTCTAGGCCACTTGCCCAATGCTTTATCCACCATGTCCCCTGACTGCTTAAAATATGTACTCGTTAAGAGCCATATTCTAGGTGTGGATATCATCCCAATCTCAGTGTTGACTGTGAGGTTAAATTTGCCACTTTGCATTAAGACTTCTAATTCATCTTGTTGTCTAAACCTTGGATCTCATCAGCTCCCATGGATGCAATTATCATCTCGATTCTAATGATTCTCCTTTTTTTTTTTTAATTTAAGACAGTTGGGGTTAAGTGACTTGCCCAGGGTCACACAGCTAGTAAGTGTCAAGTGTTTGGTCTGAGGCAGGATTTGAACTCCAGACTCCAAGGCCAGAGCTCTATCCACTGTGCCACCCAGCTGCCCCGTTTTGTTTTCTTTTGTTTTAATTTTTAATTTTTTGGCTAGGCAGTGGGGTTAAGTGACTTGCCCAGGGTCACATAGCTAGCAAGTGTTATGTATCTGAGGCCAAATTTGAACTCAGGTCCTCCTGAATCCAGGGCCGGTGCTCTATCTACTGCATCACTTAGCTGCCCTGATGCTAATGATTCTCAAATCTACTTATCCAGCCCTGACCTCCAATCTTGTATCTCTGTCTAGTGGTTATCTTCAACTGTATATCCCCTGTGCATCTTAAACTTGACATGTCCAAAATGGAATTCATTATTTCCCTCCCCCCCAAAACTCACCCTTCTTCCTAATTTTCCTATTATTTCAGAGGGTTACACCATCCTCTCAGTCCCCTAGGCTCGCAGCCTAGGTATCACCCTTGACGCCTCTCTCTTACCCACCATATCTGATCTATTATTAAGGCCTGTCAGTTTTACCTAAGTACTTTCTCTCAAATATAGCCCCTTCTCTTCTCTCACACTGCCAGCACCCCGGTTTTGGCTCATCGCCTCATGTGCTTGCTCTTTGGTTTCTTTGCCACAAGTACTCTCCCCATTCCAGTCCATCTTCCACTCCCCTGTTAGAGTGATCTTCCTAAAGTGCAGGTTGGATCATGTTACACCCCCTTTCCCTCACCAGTAGCATTCTCCGCCCCCCCCCCCCCCCCCCCCCGGCCCTCCCCCCCCCCCCCCCCCCCCCAATTCAGTAAGCTCCAGTGGTTCTATATTATTTTCCAGGATCAGATATAAAATCCTCTGTTTGGCATTCTTTACAACTAGGCCCCATCCTACCTTTCCTTTTGACCTTCCTCCCCTCTCTATACCCTACAGTCCAGTGCTGCTAGCATTCTTGCTGTTGCTTAAAAAAGATCTCTGTCTGTCTCCTGCTGTGGACATTTTCACTGGTTCTCCCTCATGCCTGGAATGCTCTCCTTCCTCATGCTTCCTTGGCTGCCTTCAAGTCCCTGCCAAAGTCTCACCTTCTACAGTAAACCTTTCCGGATCTTTCTTAATTCTAGTGCCTTCCCTCTGCTGATTATTTCCATTTTATCTGTATAGCTAGTTTGTACTTATTTGTTTACATGTGGTCTACCTCTTTAGAATGTGAGCTCCTTGAGAACAGGAACTGTCACTATCTTTTGCTTTTCATTGTATCTCTAGCACTGTGCCTAGCACAGGCATGCACTTAATAGATGTTTACTGACTGACTAACATACATTTGATATTTAGGGCTGGTTCCTTTCCTGATTTTGTCCCTTGTGAGAACAAGGACCTTTTTTTTTCTTGAGAGTGAAGAATCTTTTCAAGTTTCTGAGATCATGTCCTCATGGGCAATGAAGTATTTCCTGCCTCATGGCACTCCTTCAGGTAGACCAGGGGTTAATTAGGTTCACTAAATCACTGGATGCAGACAGCATTTCTCATAGCATGCACTTAGCAGGTAGCTTTCTTGTCTAGATAGTAAGTGTTTTGGAGTGAGTTTAAGTGGCCTATCCTCTACTAAAGCCTTGTTCAGTAGTTTATCGTGATGTGGAGGTGACCTTACATTTTAGAAACTAAGATCTTTCTCCTTACTCCTTCCATTTTGGGCAGGACAGATTGTATCTTGTGGGATAAGCAGGGATGGATAGGTTATGCTCTACAGATTTCATTACATTAGCTTCATTACATTAGCTTTCCCTCCAAACCTATCTCTCTTTCAGACTTACTTATTTCTATCAAAGACACCAGAATCCTTCAAGTCACCCAGATTCACAACCTGTCATCCTGGACTTATGACTTTCACTTATCTCATCTATCCAATCAGGTCTTGTCTTTTCTAGCTATACAGCATCTCTTGTATCTGTCTCCTTCTCACTGCTCACACTGTTACCACCTTAGTTCAGGCCCCCATTATTTCTCACATGGATTATTGCGGTAGTCTCCTAATTGGTCTCCCTGCCTCAGATCTCTTTTCTTCTTCAGCTCATCATCCACAGATGCCAAAGCGATTTTTCTAAAGTACAAGTCTGACTGTCTCATTCCCTTGTTAAAACTCCATTGGTTCTCTATTTGCTCTGTGATGATCTCATTCATTTAATGTTTGTTTTGTATGTGTTTATGTCCATAATTATGCGTAAAGTAGTACATGTATATATATATATATATATATTTTTTTTTTTGGCAATTGGGGTTAAGTGACTTGCCCAGGGTCATACAGCTAGTAAGTGTCAAGTGTTCGGTCTGAGGCCAGAACTGAGGTCCTCTTGACTTCAGGGCCAGTGCTCTATCCACTGCGCCACCTAGCTGCCCCCTTGTAGATCTTATAAATAAGTAAAATAAACACATGGGGAATGTGTGCTTAGAAAATTTTTATTAGTAAAGGTGTTCAGTCAAAAAAAGTTTGGAGACCACTAGTTTAAAGAATCACCTTAACAAAGTATAAAGAGGTTATCACCAAATGATTGGCCCCCAGGTGATGAATTCTTTTTGCTGAAGCAGTTCAGGAAGACCATCTCCCAAGACAAAGCAGAGTGACCTGCATTCCTGGAGGGAGTATCCACACTAATGAAATTATAGATTCTTGAAGCAGCTCTTAAGAAATATCCTGTTGGGGGGCAGCTAGGTGGCTCAATGGATAGAGCACCGGCCCTGGAGTCAGGAGGACCTGAGTTCAGATCCGGCCTCAGAAACGTAATACTTCCTAGCTGTGTGACTCTGGGCAAGTCACTTAACCCCAATTGCTTCACTAAAAAAAAAAAAAAGAAAGAAATATCCTGTTGTATAAAATCTCAGGGTATCCTCTGAGAGCTCCAGAAGGGAAGCTTTAATCTTAAAGCATGAGGTGGCACAGTGATAGAGCCCTGAGCCTGGGGTCAAGACCACTTGACCTAAGTTCTTATCTGGCCTCAGACACTTTTAACTAGGTAACCCTGGGTAAATCAACTTAACCTCTGTCAGCCTTAGTTTCCTCAACTGTAGAACAGAGATAATAATAGTACCTACCTTCCCTCCTTTCCCTTCCCCTTTCTTTCCCTCCCTTCCCTTTTCCCTTCCCCATCTCCTTGCTTTTTCCTTCTCTCTCCTTCCTTCTTTTCTTCCTCCTTCCCCCTCTATCTCCCTCGCTTCCTCCGTTCAGTGTATGTGAACAACATGTTTATTGTGATGAAAGGATTTTGTATGGAAATGAGAACTGTCGTTGTTACTATTGTTGAATTCTTTTAGGTCCTGAGCATGAGAGGTGTCCTGGTCTGGTGTATAAATCAAATGGATCTGGAATCAAAGGAACTAGTTCAAATTCTACCTCTGCCCCTTACTCCCTGTGGGAGCTTAGGGAGTCACTTAATTTTTCTGTGCCTCAGTTTCCTTATTTGTAGAGTGAGGTGGTTGGACTAGAGAGTCTCTGAGCTTCCTTTGAGCTCTTAACTCTATGATTCTTTGTTTTCATTTGAGGGCTGGAGGCCTTTAGTCTCCAAGCACTTGGTCAGCACCACCCCTGTGCTGTGCCTAGCAGGGGCAGTGATTGGGAGGTTACCGAAGACAAGGACATAGCCTCTCTCTGTTTGAGGTGAGGAGGCATGTAGTGAGCACAGGGCAGAGAGTTAGTTGTGTGTCATGGGTAGTGAATATCTTACAGAGTCAGTATAAACTGAAGTCATCAAGGCTGTTTCTCAGAGGAGATGAAACTTGAGGTGGTCTCGAAGGACTGGTAGGATGTGGAGAGGAGGTGGGGAGGCCCTTCTTGTACACAGACTTGACTAAATGGATGAGTGGGAACAGCTGTAGTATGAGGAGAATGTGGAGGGGTGTGTGTGTTTTGGGGAGTCACTTTGGAAACTTAGAGGAAAGACAAATTATTATATCCATCATTAACCTGGTGCTCTTTTTCTCTCCAAATAGCTCTCCTATTTAATGTCTGGATACAGATGCTTCATCTGCCCAGTGGAGTTCAACAATGACACCAACAGCTTCACTGTAGACTGTGAGCCCTCAGATCTCTTCAGACTTCAGGAATACAACATCCCTTTGGTGATTCAGTCCATTGTTGGCTGGGTGCGTACCTTTTAACTTGGCTTGGGTCAAGCCCAGCTAAGGTCATGTATTTGGTTAGAACTAAAAGTGAGGGTCTTCTCCACAGAAATTTTCTATAAGATATGAAGGTGCCAAACCAAAAAGGGTAAGTAACTGTAGAGTCAGGGCAGGTTCAAAGTGAGGATAAATTTCTCTCCTCTGCTACTCCCCCCACCCCAATTATTTAAAATGATAAGGAAGTATGCATGCATCTGTGGTGTCTTACATGTAGTCGGCACTTAATAAATAATTTTTGAATTAAATTTTTGAAGTCCTGTAGCTGAGGAACAAAAAGTTACCTTAGGATTATTTGTCAATTTCAGTAATTCCCAATTAATGATTACTTCTTGCTCAAGGTCTTTGTTTGAAGCAAAACTAGGCCAAACATATTTATTTCTCTTGCAAAAGAAATAATCCCAAGAAACATAGTTTTAGGATTTTATATATTTATTTTTGGTATGTTGGTGAGCTTTGCACATTGACAGAAACTGCAGACCTGGCAAAGTTAATTTCTTTTAGAAATGTTATTAAAGAAAAAAAATAAAACTGAAGGCAACCTCAGCTTTTTTTTGCTGTATCTTTTGCAGAAAACAGTCCGGATGTATCCCTTCCAGATCCACAGCATTGCTCTCTCCACCTTTGCCTCCCTCATTGGCCCCTTTGGAGGTTTTTTTGCCAGTGGATTCAAACGGGCCTTTAAAATCAAGGTAGGAGTGATTTTGACCCACCCACCCTTACTTTTTCCATCTTTCTTCTCCCTAACAACGAGGCCAGTCAGGCTTTCTGAATCCATTTTGCCTTCATATTATATGTGTTGAATTTAACTGGGATCATTCAAAGTAAGATTACAGTTGTTCAGGAAATGGAATTTTGCAGCTGGCCACCTAATTTCTCTGTATTTTTAAAAGTTCCTTTGCCATAAGCCTCATTATGTCCATCTGTCTTTGCCCTCTGCTAGGGATGAGGACAAATGCTTAGTTTTTTCCCTATTGAGGACTAGTTGTGCATGTGGTTAGGACTTTTAGATGAGTATGTGATTACTGTGTTGAGTTTAGATTCACAAACTCTCTCCTTAACTCTGATAGGACTTTGCTAACACCATCCCTGGCCATGGAGGTATTATGGACCGCTTTGACTGCCAGTACCTGATGGCTACTTTTGTTAATGTCTACATTGCCAGTTTTATCAGGTAACACAGCTTTCCTCGCGCATACAACAAAGGTTCTTTGAATTTGGTTGTCCAGTTTGTTCTTGCAGCATTGAGTTTTTAGGATGTCAGATATTTCCACATTCAACTATGAGCACAAAAACATGTCCTGTAGCCAAATATAATGAATTTTGGGATTCACCATGCTACTCCTCCCATGCTATTTGTGTGATGAATATTGAATTTAGTGCAACAAATAATAAGCTGTTGGGCATAATTAGCTTACAAAAGTGCCTTTGGCTCTGATTTAGTTTATTTTTTTCTGATTTTTCTTTCAGGGGACCTAACCCAAGCAAGCTGATTCAGCAGTTTTTGACTTTGCGTCCAGATCAGCAGCTTCACATTTTCAACACGTTAAAGGCTCACCTTATTGATAAAGGGATGTTGACTGCCAGCACTGAAGACCAAGGGGCATCCTAGAAAGAGGACAGTAGGATCAGAACTGAGCTCTAGGGCAAGTCTTCAAGTCAATCCCAGCTTGTGTGACTTTTAAGACCATTACAAGACCTCATTTCACTGTTTTCCTTTTCTGTAGAATTTTTTTTTGTGCTGTGGGTTTTCAAGAACAATTATCTATCTATATATACACATATACTTCGTATGTGTATTTATATGATGTGACTAAGTGCGTAAATCAGAGTTTTGAGTTGGAAAGCAATCACAGGAGTTAAACCTCTGTGGGTTTAAACAAAATAAAACATAAAACCCATAACACTGAGGGCATCTGTTCCAAGGGTTGTTCTGGTGGATCCAGGCCCTTTAAATTTAACATTCCTTCTGTCCTATCTGTTTGGAGAGCAGACCTGCCAACTATGGGCTGATGGCCAGACCAGAGAGTAAACTTAACACACTGCCTGTAACAGCCTTTCGAGCAAGCCTAAAACTCATATACAGCCCAAATTACATTGTAGTCACAGAAACTTTTCACCACAAACCCTTTTCGAGTTCCAACGTCAGTTCTGGAATGAAAGTTGTCTTTTACTGTGGAAGGAAAACATGGTGTCTGACAAATGCTTACTTATTGAAAAAGCATCTTAATGAGATGACATTTCACTTAAGAAATACCATTTTGAGAGAACATTATCATAATTTCATTTTCACCTTTGCTTCAGTGCACCTCAGGAGATGTCTTTGTTTTAATTAAAAGCAAACAAGAAACCATGGAACATGAAAAGTAATTTAAAAATAAAGTCGGATGGGGGGAAGATGCCCACACAGTAGTATTTCACCTGTCTACAGGAGAGCATATCTAACTTAGTATACAGAGTTCTCACATTATTAGTCACGAGCCCTAGCTGGAATAGCATAGCTGGTTCTGTCACTCTTCAGGGATCATGTCACTCATGTCTGTCTGCTGTATTTAAACTGGGGACTTGATGCTGCTGAATTATTTCTGTTGGTTTTGTGTTTTTCTTTGAGCAAAGAGTAGGGAGGGATTGGCTTCTAGCCTATGGGCTCTTTGCTTTATCTTTTATTTAGTTGACTTAAATTGTACTTGTTGCACTGGTGGTGTCTGTGTAAATATTCACCTATTTGTTAACTACTATGTTTCTCATCTAAATGGAATCGTGCTGCAAACCCAGTCTGAGTCCTTGAGAACCTTTGTAAAGTTCGAAATACCTTGATGGTTAAATGCATAATCGAGTCTCTGACATTGCTAATGTCTCTGTACTTTGGCTTTTCCCAGAGGTCTTAAAAAAAAAAAAAAGAAAAAAATTGTGACCTTTTTTTCTCCCTGAGTATAGGATGAAATTGACAGAGGAGACAAACTCTCCACGTCCCTGGAGATACATCCAGGACAACCAGGAGTGATTCTGAGGAGAGAGAACTTGGTAGTCTGATGGACATTGTTCAGATCACACTGTGCCAGTATGATCCGCTTTCTCTGTTGAAAATGGAGATATGTAATCTAATATGACATAATTTTTTTGGCACCTTGGTCTGTCTAACTATGTCTGTTACTAGCCTTGTTACCTTTCTGTCCTCATTAGGCCAAAATCACTGGGGCCTTGGCACAGGCCAAATCTCTTGCTGGAGGAGAAGTGGGTATTAGCTAGGGGGGAGGCAGAGCTGACTTAGAGCTGTAACCCTTTCATATGTGTGGAATAGAAGCAAATTTGGGGTGTGTGTGTGTGTGTGTGTGTGTGTGTGTGAGAGAGAGAGAGAGAGAGAGAGAGGAAACACATCAGTGTACTTCAGTGGTTGCTACACTGTTTGCCTCTTTTCTTTTTTCTTTAGTACCAGGACCTCCGTGTGAGGTAGCCTGGTGCAGTAGAAGGGCGGGTTTGGAGTCTGAAGACTTGTGTTCTAGCCCTGACTTTGCCAGTTGCTAGTGTCTGATTTGTAGAAAATGATTTAGCTTGCCTGTCATTCAGTTTCTTCACCTGTAAATGAAGAGGTTTGGAGCAGGTGATCTCTAAAGTTCCTTCTAGCTCTAAAATGCTCTGGTTCTGGCTGGGCAGGGATAAAATAGCAGAGGTCGCTTTTGCTACTGAGTTATTTCCTGGCATCCCAAAATAAACTTAATCAGAGCCTGAAACCCTAAGGGGAAAATCAACAATGAATGCTTGGCTTTCATGTTAAAATGACATAATCTATAATATATATATATATCTAATCTGAGAATCAGACTTAAGTCATTCTGGATTTGATGTATTGGCTGGCATTCCTTAAATGATGGAGCTTCATTTAAAATTCAGAGAAGGAAACTGGAACGCTATCTACCCCTAAGAACACTGTGTTGAAAGAATCTTAATAAGAGAAGGGAGTCTGATGACCTAAGTGATGCTGGCACAGTTGAGTGACCTTTTCTTTGTCAGTAAAATCACAGTGTACCTTGGACAAGGTACTTTTTGACTGTACTTGGGGATCTCAGGTATGGGAAGTGTCAACTCTTAGATGAAAATTAAGGTCACAGCATAGCCCTTGAGGATGGCAAAAGCACAAGTAATCAACTTCTGACTGAAATGAAACTTCTAGATTTTCTATAGAGACATTTTGGTTTTTCCTTCTATTCTCACACTTTCTGTCAGAGTTGCTAGCAAGCAACTTGGTTTGAGATTGGTTTGAATTTCATATTTATCTTCAAAAGATGTGTGATTTCAGTAGTGTGAGTGTTCACCCCCTCATCACCATAGATCCCAAATCTTCAACATCTTAGACGATGAAAATTTTCAGCCAGGGCAGCTCATAAAGCAGCTCACCTCTTGGCCAACCTTCGGTGGAGTCTCATTGAATTTAGCTAGTCTTGAACTTAACTGGTCTTGGGATGATTGATGTGCAATCTGTTGCTAGATCTTTATTCAAAGATTTTTTCAGCCTTTTATGTAGGACCTGCCAGAGCTTACAATGCACTGGCATAGTGCTTGAGAGCCCAGTTACTCCCATAACTTCATGATTTGTTGAATTTCTCCTTTGCTCGTTTCCCTTGTTTGTACCCTGACAATAGGGTTTATAAGAGAAGTTGTCAAAAGTCAGGCAAGCCAGAAAGAGAAAGACTGCACAGTCTGGATCATTCTTATAGGATTATTAGTTCCAGAATATTTGGAATTGGGCTGTCTTTGAGCATTAGCCTTCCTTTGCTATACTCCTTCCCTCCTTTGCAAGATCAGGAGACAACCTGCTGCTTCTAGACTGAAGAGTAAGGTCATATTTAGGCTTGGAAATAGTATTGTGTGGGTAGCATCCACTAAGTGGAGAGGGTAAAGGAACCAGTTGAATGAGTTATTACATACCAAGTTGCTTCAAGGAGTTAACCATTAAAAATTTGGGCTGGGTGCTAAGTCACATTTGACAGCATATTAACACCTCATAAATTTCTCTTGCTAAGTGTGGCTTTGTAACCTAATATTATATGCTATGTACATAACTGTACCATTTCCATTACTTCCTCCTGACTGCAGATATTTAAAAGGTCTGGGAAAGGCACATTTCCATTTCAAGACAGTAAATATTGCTTTAAGAAAAATAATACCAAGGCATATTTATATGAGTTATTTTTTGCTTGTCTTCAAATTTCAGGCATTTTCAGTAGCCACTGAGGGGTACAGTGGGTAGAAGTTGAACTTGGAGCCAGGAAGACCTGAGTTTAAATCCTGCCTCAGACACTTCCTAGCTGTGTGACCCTGGGCAAGTCATTTCATATCTCCAAGTCTCAGTTTCTCATCTATAAAATGGGGATAATAATAGCACCTACCTCACAGGGTTGTTGTGAGGATCAAATGAGATAATATTTGTAAAGTGCTTTGCAAACCTTAAAGTGCAATATAAATGCTAGCTGTTATTAATAGTGTGGCCATATTTAAATATATCTACTTCTGGTATTAATACAAGTATATCTTATAGGTTTTCTTAAAATAAAAAAGTGGATCTTTTATTTTTAAATTTTATTTTGAATAAGCATTTATTTTCTCTTCTTCCTCCTCCCCCCCTCGTTACAAAAAAGAAAAACAACATTCTTGTCACAAATATGCATAGTCAAACAAAACAAACTGCCACATTGGCTGTATCTAAGAAGTGTGTGTCTCATACTGCATCTTGATTCATAGATCTTTTTAAAGTACATTTTTAGCTCACAAATAATTGGAGGTGCCCCCTCTGTTAGCCTCATGGTGGAATGAAGTTTCGAGTTCCTGAAGGCTCTGTCCATAGAGCACAAACTCTGCCCAGTCCCACTAACCTGGCAAGGGTTCAAATAGAAGCTTAGAGATAGACTGGTCTGTTAAGTCTGTTTGGCCACAGAATGATCAACTTTTCAATCACAGTATCTCAGGAGGACCATTTACTATGGTGTAAAGAGAGGTGGTAATTTACATCAGTTGAGGGAGTGTCCACACCAAAGTAGTATATTTATTGTACCCTTCTCATTGGTGTCCACCTACTATTTTTCTGTCCTTCATGCTGTAATTGACTTTAGTTGAGCAAGAAAAAAAAAACCAATCCACCAACTGAAAGCATCTAAAATGTATTAAAATAAAAGCTCATGAAACTACGAGGTGGGTTATGATTCTGAAGTGGTTAGCTCTGTTGGCTAGAGTACCATTGGATTGAGGCCAGACACCCTCCCTAATCGTAGCTTTTGTTCACAACAGGCAAGGAGTTGTAGAGGACCCATCCAAACCCATCATCACTACTTCAAAACCAGTCCAAATGTATTTGCCCTATTGAGGGTATGCAGATAATATTATCTTATAATGATGACAGGCCACATTTCTACAACACTTTCTGGTTTACAAAATGCTCTCCTCACATTAAACACACGGGGTGAGTAGTACAAGTATTATTACCCTGATTTTACGTATGAGGAGACTGAAGCTCAGGGGTGAAGTGATTTGTTTTTGGTTAGGTAAAGAGTCAGGAGTAGAGTTCATACCTAATCAAAGGAGAAAGGACTACAGACTGGAGGTCTGGAAAGAAGAGACAAGTTGGTCTGGCTAGGGCAGGCAAAAAAAAGAAAAAGAAGAAAAAGAGGGAGGTGTTAGTAAAGAGCTCTAAACACACTGGAATGTGCATTAATAGCATGCTGACTTATGTCTTTTGAGATGCTGTTAATTGCAGACGCGAAGAACTTGGTCAGTTGTAGGAACACAGCAGCAGTTCTATGGCCTCTCAGTTCCACATCAAGGGTACGTTCTTAGCGATTCTCTTTGGAAGCTGAAGCTTCTCTTTGAGTGAAATGAGAGGAAGCTTAAATGATTCTTTCTGTTCATCAAAATCTGTTTGGAGACCAGGGTTGTAAAGCTGGGAGTGGATAGAGAGGACTTCAAGATAGGATGCTTTGCATTCCCATCCAGTTTTGTGAACCCTAGGCAGTTCACTTTACCCCTCAGTGTACCTGACAGCTCTGTAAATTGCAGAGAAAGTATCAATTCCTATTGATGGAGTTTTCTTGCCCTGGCATTTCTTATACCAAGGAGATCACAGGTCCTGTCCTCACCTGCTGTTATAGCATAGCTAGACATGTGCATGTGTGGTCAGATGGACAAAAGTCCCAGCCTGGTAGGCAGGAGACCTTTTTTCTTGTCTGGATTCTGCTTTAGGCACTGTGGCCTTAGGTAAGTCACTTAACTCGATATGGCTTCTTCTTTTGTAAAATGATGTTGCTAATACCTGCCCTACCAATTTCATAGGTTTTAGTGATCGTGAAAACTATTTACAGAGTTCTATGAAGGAAAGAAATTATTTGGCAGTTTTGAGTTAAAAGGATTCGTTTACAGAAGAACAGAGTGTTGTTACTGCAAACAAAGTATTGGGGCCTTTAGAGATCCTTGACTCATTCTCTTACTGGTCTAAACCTTGAATTTGGACTATTTTAAAAAACATTTGTAAAGTGACTAGAGGGTGCCAGGCCCTTTACAAATCTGCCAGTGGTTAGATTCGTATTCATCCTATTCCTTAGCGTGTTCCAGAATTGGAACTATGATATTGGTCTGACCTAGTGAGACATTTCTTTGAACTGTAAAAGATGCATGTTTTCCTTGGCATAGAGGGTTTCTTCACCAATTCTGGTCATGCCCCTTCTGCATCTTAGCAGACAACTCTTCATCAACTGCTGTGACCAGCAGTTGTCCTCGTGCCAAGCTTCTGGTGATAAGCTTTGTGGGGCCTAGACAGACTGGCCCTCAGGCATCAGGCCATTGCTGAGACTGTCTGGCTTAGCCAGACCTGCCAAGCAGAGCTTGTACTGTGCTGACGCGGTCTCGAGGTACCCACAGCCACTTCCACATTGCAGTGAGGAGGACCTCA